ATATGTATAGGTACGAATACCCTTTGATAAAAGTTATTACATTTACTTAAAATGTCTCAATAAAAAAGGCAAGTAAATGGAATATTTATCCTTTTTATTAGCAGAAAAGCATGAATTTGAGAATCAAACCAACAAAAATATGATCAGCTATCACTGCACATTTATAATCTTGGGCCAGTTTCGTGAAACTGACACTTGGTTTCTACAGCTGAAAATTAGTTACCATAATAGCTCATAGTTACTAAATATGTATTGTGTTCCAGGCATTATGCTATACACATTAATGCATTATTTAATTTATATAGTAATCTTAATGAGGTAAATACTACTTTATCTCCATTTCGAAGTTGAGGAGCTGAAGTGCAAAAAAGTCTGTAACGTGACCTGGGTCAAATTAAAAAGACTCAGAATATAAAAAGGATCAAGGATGATACACATAAAGCACATGGTCAAGCCGGTCATAGTGATGCAGGCCGGTAATCCCAGCACTGAGAGGTTAAGGCAAGAGAATGGTGAGTTGAGACCAGCTTGGGCTACAAAGTGGGTTCAGGGCCAGCCTGAACTGCATAGCGGGATCCTGTCTCAAAAAGACCAAAAAAAAAAGTCTGATTTTGAGTAAGTAATTAGTGAGTCTGTGTATTATTATTAATGCCATCATAAAAGGAATCAAAGTGCATTCAGGTCAGTCTTGGTTGGTTAATAATCTCTGATTCATAGATTATACTCTTCCTCAGAAATCTGTTCCTCCAAACTCATTGTAGAGTGAAATTTCAAGATTGTAAACAACTTGAAGATAGGAAACCATGTTTATAGTTTTCTTTTACATTCTGTGGCTATCACTACAATATAAATTTGAGCAAATAATATGAATTTATTATATATTATGAATTTGTCTTGAAAGGGCAAATGTGGCTATATTCATAAATAAAATTACTGTTTTCTAAAAAGTATTTCATCTCCCCAAGAGGTAATGCTTTAATATTTTTAAAGTTGCCATTAAAGGGTAATTTTAGGGCTTTCATTGTAAGAGTCTTTTGTCTTCTCACAGAAGAAAAAAAAATGAGAAAACTGTAGAGAAAGCTGACTTCTCAAGAATTTTTGTGTGGGGGGAATTACAGAGATCCAGAAGTTCATAAATCATTTTTATCCCTTTTTTGTATATTTTCAACAAGCTGTATGTAGTAAGTAAAAAAGTTTGCAGTCATTTTTATACCAGACCATAAATAAAAAATAAACAGAAAGCCTATGAATAATTTTTCCCCATTTTATTTTTCTATGTATTCTCAACAAACTGTGCTTCTAGTGAGTAAAAATTGGCAGTATTTTATATCAGGATAAATTCCATTCTGTTAAGCCTAGGATATAATGAGGTCTAAATTCGGTCTCTAATTGAATACATTTTAATAAAATTGTCTAGGCCATTTTGAACTTGGATTACTAGACTTTCAAATGAAATTTTAAAGAAAATCCTTTTTTTGTATATTTCAGTTTTTAGAAATAACATACATAGTTTTATTCTGATTTTCTTTTTTTGGTTTGTTTTATTTATTTATTTATTTATGTACTGGGGATTGAACTCACAACTGCACGCTTGGAAGTCAGGTGCTTATGCCACCTGAGCTAAATCCTCAGCCCCTATTCTGATTTTTAAAATAGTATAGCTATGAATTATACTGATATAACAATAAAACTTTCTTCATTACAATGTAATTTTGTGGTATTTTGTCAAATAATCAAGTATTTATGTTTGAAACATGACACCTTTATTAAAAATTTAAAATTCTTGTTTCCTATTTTGTTTACATGTAGCAATTAAAAATGAAGAGAAACTGCGCTATGGACAAGAATGAGATATTTTTCTTCCTTCATTATCTCCTTGTGTTTCTTTAGACGTTTTTCTTTCGTAATTTAGAACAGTAATACTATGGTCTACTCAGATCTTCCTCTATTTTTAACTGTTGTATCCAAGGGCCTAGAACAGTGCATGGCTCATAGTAGATCTAAACTATTTGTTGAGAAAATAAAGGATCACTTGTTCTGATCTGGGTGTCTTTGGCAGTGTATTTTCCTTGTTTACTTACTCATCAAATACATTGTGGTAGGGAGGCATTATCTACTAGAGTTTGCTGGACTTTCTGGACTCAATATAGAATGCTGTTGTTTACAGCTACAACCACGGTTTTTGTTTTTTTTTTTTTTTTGTCTTTTTCATTTTTATCGGTACCGGGGATCGAACTCACGATCACCTGCTTGCAAGGCAGGTGCTTATGCCGCTAAACCTCCAGCCCCTACAACCACGGTTTTGTGAGGGTAGAAGAAAAAGAACTTAGAAATGAATAAATCAGTGTAGTTCAGAAAAGGTAATTCTGTAGGGATGATTAGTTGTTGTCTGGGATTGAGGTTGGAGGTGAGATCAGAAAATGACTGTAAATAGGTAAGAAGGTACTTTTTTGGATGAAGGAAATGTTCTAACATTACATTGTGATGACTATTACACAGATCTATAGATTTTTTAAAAATCACTGAATTGTTAAGATGAGTAAACATTGCAGTATAGAAATGTTGTCTTAGTGAAATGTTGAATAAAACCAAGATGAACATTAAAATTATGTCAGTTTTTACTAATTGGAAAACTAGAATGATGAATTATTTTCTTTCTGTCTTTGGATGTCACTTATAGACAAATGACTAATTTACTTAGAACTACTTTTTATATGAAGTAATCTTATATTATTCTATAGTAAAAAAATTCATTCTTTCATGTACTGGCTTGGAGTTTATAACGATCTTAATATAAAATATCTTGTTTCACCAAATTTCCTTATGGACAAGTTAGCTTTTTCGAAAGCTGTAAAGGATAGATATGAACCCGTCAACAATGCTGATAGTTCGTTTTCATTGAGTTGCATAGCTAATACATACTAGTTTCTTATTTCTTTTCTGAAAGATTTGTTTGATTTACCTTGATAGCTTTTATTTTAAATTTTTAATTAATGTAGACACATTAAAATGGTACATACTCATGAGGTACAGTGTGATGTTTTGATAGATACATACATTGTATAATTTTTAAATCAAACATATCTGTTTTCTCAAACATTATTTCTTTTTGGTGAAAACATTAAAAAGTCTGTCTTCCAGTGTTTTGAAATATGTTATCAATTTCATAGAAGTTGAGAATAGAATGATGGTTACCTGACGGATAAGAGTAGTTGGGGAGGAAGAAAGGAGAAAGGTTAATGAATGGGTACTGAGTTATAGTTAGGAGTAAGAAATTGTAGTGTGCAGTTGCACAGTAGGGTGATTGTAGATGATGATGATAATATACTGTTTATTTTTTAAAGGAGAATATTTATGGACCTTCCCTCCTACAGTGTTTCGATATATTCCCTTTGATCTTTTTTTGTTGTTGTTAAGAGAGATTATTTGTATTTTACAATTATTTATTAGAAGGAAAAACAATTCTCACCGATGCATTTATATGCCCCTTCTAAGAAAACGTAGCCCTTTAAAAATTTGACTTCATCCTAAAAAATTATTTATAAGAGCTTTCCCTAAGTATAATAAAGACTAACCAGTCTACAGATATAATTAAAATGTTTGAGGTCAGTTAGCTCTCAAGTCTGACAGTATGAAATATTGACAAGGACATAAGAATCTTGAGATGTTTTAAAACATTTGGAATGCAAAAATTGAGGTAGTCTGATTTTTTGTTATCATCATTCACTTAATTTATATCTGGAAACTACTTATATGGTGTTGACGTAGTCATTGTTACTATTACAATTGAAATATATTTATTAAATACTAGACACTCTTATACAGTCTTTCCTTATTAATAACTCTTTTAATTCTCACACTGATCCCATGAAGTAAGGCTGTTGTCACTCTTTTTTAATGGATAGAGAAAGAATTTACATAAATTTAAATTACTCATTCAAGTTGGTAACAGTCAAACTAGGATAGACATTACTCATAACCACTGTACCAAATTGTACGCTTAACTTTCTTTCCTTTTTTTTTTTTTCCAAAAAAAAGTTCTTCATGGTGAAAGGATTAAACAATGTTTAATATAAAAAAGATAATATTCCCTCTTGAAGTTAACAATATGCAATATTATAACCATTGTCAAATTCTTTATCATCTTGTTTTGTAAACCTACACTGTTGTTGTATTTGGTTTATTGCTGTTTGTGTTGTTTTTTGTTTTCTGTATCTTTTTAATCTTAAAAAAATAGTATATATTGAAAGGAAACATGTCCTTATTTTTATTTCTTGTCTTCTTTCTTGTCTTTCTTTCTTCCTTTTATCTCTCTTGTCTCTGTCTCTGTCTCTGTCCTGTCTCTGTCTGTCTGTCTGTCTCTTTCGTACTAGAAATTGAAAACTAGGCCTTTGCCCTGAGCTATCCCTATTCTCTTTGCATTTTTTCTTTCAACACAGAGTCTTGTTAAGTCACTAAGTTGCCCAAGACCATGCTTTTATTTTCTTGCTTCAGTCTTCCAGAGCACTGGGATTACAAGCATCTTCTACCAAGTCTGTCTCCTACCATTTCTTGTTTTTATCAATTATTGTTATTTCTGTCAAGTCAAATAATCTACTAGTCATTTTTCATAACTGATAGCTCAAACAGTGTTATTTGAGTTTAGTTACTCTTATTAGGATTTCTTTTATGTGTTTGATTGTGTTTCATTATTTGTCTGCTTGGACTGATTGAACCTTTCTGTGGAAATTCTTGAAGCTTAGCTTACTGTATGTCTTATTTGTATTTCTGAGAATTGATATATCAGTTTAAGCCAAAATATTTTTACAAATTGGTCCCTAATAAATTAAAGGTTTTCTAAATTTTAATTGATAAAAAGCAAAAAAGATTACCAGTCTCTGAATATACTTAGCAAATAGTAAGTTTTCTTTAATGTGTAGCTGTGTTTTGGGGAGAAAGTTCAAGATATTGTTTTGTTAGTAAATCGTTCATTTACCCTGTTTTTTATTTTGTTTTTGTAGGATTTTGGCACCTAACAGTAATTATCAAGACATTGAGACCCTCTATAACTTCCTAATCAAGTATGAGGTATGAGAATAATTTTTAATATTTATTGCATGTCTACCATAAATAAAGTTTTAATATAACTGTAGTTGGAGTTCTGAAACATAATGAATGCTTTTAAATTGGTATTTAAATTCTTAAATGCCATAAAAGTTTGCTAGTGACATACTTGCTTTTCTTTTTTTTAAATAAAAACAAATTTTTATGTTTAAAGTATACAACATATGTTTTATATGTATGTAGTGAAACATTTAAAGTAACATTATCTGCCATCTCACACAGTACCTTTTTTGGTATAGTAAGAGCACCTAAAGTCTGTTCTTTTGGCAAAATTTTAACTGCAACAGTATTAATTGTAGTCTCCATGTTGTGTACTAGCTCTCTAGACCTTCTTATCTGAAGTTATCTTTTCACTTTATCTCCCTATTTCTTTCCTGCTCCCTGTAAGTGACATATTCAGTTTTTTATTTTGTTAAGTAAAGAAATAATAGAGTTCTGAAATAAGCACACTTTTAACACACTGACAATTGTTCCTCCTGAGGCATCTGTTGGCATTTTGGACAGGTCATTTCTTCAGACTATAGAGTCCTGCAGGATGTTTAACATCTATGCTTTTTGGGAACTAATTGCCTACAGCTGTATCAGTCATTATGAGAACCAAAAATATTCTACTGCCCTGTCAACTCACATACCCAAAATGGGTATGTGAAGAGAGAGAAAAAGCCCCTCTGGTTGAGAACTACTGATTCCTGGAAAGGAAGTTATAATTTAGTTCGCTCTATAGCAACAACATTGGCCCTGGACTTACAGCTGGACTGAGACTGCAGTGTGTTTTTTAAATTAACCCACATGCTTTCCCTGACATTGCTGACCTAAGGAAAGTACTCTGTTCATGTTTGTTGCCTGTTGTCCTAAAGCTCTTTGCCTGTTTTCTGTATTTTCTCCCTCTTAGTTTTGTGTATGTTTAAAACATTCCAGGTGAAGGTGTGTGGCAGTCAGTCTCACTTTTTGTGTGTCTTTGTTTTACAACAGGGTCTCACTTTGTAGTTCAGGCTGGCCTTTCAGTCATTATGTCACCCATGCTGGTGACCCTTCTGTGTCAGCCTCCGGAGTCCTGGGATTATAGGTGTGTGCCGCCATGCCCATTTTAATCTAACATTCTATGGAGTTAAACTCCTTTAAATATACTCCTTTTATGCCTAGTTAGCACCTCATTTAACTTTTAATGTGTTTTATTTTCTAGCAAGAACCCAGTGGTTAAGAACCCAGAAACTGAGATTAAACTACCTGTGTCTAAATCTTTGTTCTTCCACTTATTAACTGTATATTTTAGGAAGACTGAAGACACCTTGTCTCAGTTTCTTCATCTGTGAAAATGGAGTGACAACAATAGATACATTATAGGTATTCTTTGAAGACTAAGTAAATAAGTGTATGTAAAGAGTTCCAAACAGAACCAAGCATAGAGCAACTCTTCAATAATTACTACCTTTTTTTATTTAAGCAAAAAATAGTATTCACTTGTACTTTTAAAATATCAACTTTAATCCTTTCTGACCATATTTAGTGATTGAGAGTATTTCCTCTGTTGAGATACATATTTCATGATACTTTCTGAATTTTGAGATAGTAAGCCTAACAATAAAGGTATATTTGTGGAAATAATAGGACAGTTTTAAAATCACATATTCTGGAAAATTTTAAGGATAGATCTATTCTTTGGGTTTAGTAGTTTCTATTGCTAAGAATATTGGAAGAAAATATCTAATTTAGTAGGTATTTTTAAGAATATGTGGCTTTGATTCTCAGGTTTAAAAAATAGTTTATTTCCCCTAGCAGAATGTCTTTCTACACCAGTTACTATGTTGAAGATATTTGCCACATAAAAAGTGGTAAAACCTTTTACATCTTTTAGAAGTTTGAATATTTTTATACTTTGCCTTTTGTTCTTGAATTTTGAGTATATAAATAATTTAACTGTTTCTAATATTTGGCTTTCATTGTAAGTACTACAACTAAAAAAGGTAATAATATCAGTTCCACAATCCATTTTATAAGTCTAATGTTTACTGACAAATGCAATTTTTACCTGTTTGTATTTTGGAAATTAGAATTGTGCATTTAAGTGTGGAGATAGCTGATATTTAAACAGTATAATTTAAAAGGTCCTGATGTGAGTAAGAAAAGCTGTTTTAATAGTCAAAATTAATGACTATGATAAAACAAAATATTTTAAGCTAACTCGTCATGAATTTTTGTGCTTCAATTGTTCTTTTTTAGTAAATTAACCGTTACCATCTACTTAAATACTTTAACAAAATCTATTAAAAACTTAAACTGTTTTGTATTCCTAGTCAGGTTCAAAATCACTTATTCAGCTGACTTTTGTCAGTGGCTAGCAGAGAACATACTATTTTCAGTTGTGGTTTGAGCTGATACCTGGATGTGTTGACATTTAATAGCCTAAGTTTGGCTACATTATAGGTCCTGATATGTAGGGCAATAATAAAAATAGCAAAGACACCTAGCAAGGGCAGAACATGTGAAAAAGTAAGGACTAGACTTGGTACTTTAATGATAAGTGTAGATTTTTAAAACAAAATGTACTAGACTTGATATTTTAATGTTAAAAGCATTTTTAAATAAAATACTTAAAATATTAAACTACATAAAATTATGACACCAGTTTCATAAATTATTGAATAATAAATATGATTTGTATCCAGTAATTATAAACAATACAGATTTTAAGCAAAGGGCTGGGGATTTAGCTCAGCAGCATAAGCGCCTGCCTTGCAAGCAAGGCAGTCGTGAGTTTGATCCCTGGTACCGATAAAAATGAAAAAGACAAAAAAAAAATTGCAAGCAAGATATTAGGATTATGTTCATTAGAAATATTTTTGTATATATATGAGCACACACATATGTATACACATACTTTTTTATTTTAAAGAGAAAAAACAAATCAAGAAGCACACAAAAAATAACAAGCAAAATGACAACAACAGTAACAGAAATAGTGATATATAGGATTTTAAAACAAGATGATAAGAATTTTGACAATGGTCGTTATGTTGCATATTATTATCCTCAGAATAGTTGCTCAGGTTACCAGCTAAGGCATGCAAAATTGATCAAATAATGTAATTTCCCTTTGGGGAATTTCTTTTCCTTTTACTGTATCTGTTGTAACTTTTGGATCTAATTTACTCTTTCACTTTCTTAACTAGGGAGACAATATGATGCTTACACATGTAAGTCTGATTGATTTCACTTATGAGGATGGTTTCTAGTTGCATCCATTTACCTGTAAAAGCCTTGAGTTTATTGTTCTTTATGGCTAAATAGTATTCCATTGTATAAAAATACCACACCTTTTTTTATCCATTCCTCAGTTGATGGGCATTTGGGTTGTTTCTAAGATTTAGCTTTTACAAATTGTGCACATGGGTGCACATATATTGCTACACATAGTTTTTTTGTGTTGTGCTGAAAATTGAACTCAGGGCCTCATGAATGCTAGAGATCTTCCTCTGAGCAACACCCCATTTCTATAATATTATACTTAAAAACTAAAAACTGTAGACACTTAGCTTTCAGTAAGTGAAACATTTTCTTCACAAATATCGTGTGCTTCATATGAAAACATTGAAGAAAGTAATGGAATTCTTTCAAATAAGCAATATTCTAAATTTTCTCGACAACTTGAATTTTTAAAATTAAATCAAAATAGTATTTTCCTCACAGAAATGCCAGACCAGCTAGTAATATTTCAACCACTTAAAAAGATAAATCAAATAGAAAATTGTCTTTGAGTTTCCTTCTGCCAGTTTCAAACTTCTAAAAATTTAGGCACTGCTATGCTATTTGTTACCTAATTAAAAAGAACTATTCCTCTCTATTAATTTCTAGATTCTTCCTTGGACATAAGTACAATATAGATTATATCAGTAGTATAAGTAAAGACTTTTATTTATGATTTTATTAAATATATCTTAATTATGCTTATTAATTTAAACTTTAAATATACAGACCTTAATAATTAGAAAAATAAATTTTTTTAGGAAATGTCTGCTAGTCACTTTTTTCCTCAATTTAGATAGACCTTTTCAGTATAATCTCATCATGCTTTTTTCTGTCCATTTGATCTCCAAAATGATTATCTGCTTTGTTCAGCTTCCTATAAATCCAGACTCATCTCACTTCTACTTTGAAACAATGGGACCAGTATCTTTACACTTTGCTCATAATGGTCAGAGCATGTTTTAGTCCTTTTTAGGATAATATTTAAAACTTGAGATTTTGCTTCTTCAGAATGGGCTATTTTAAGAGAGGTCATGCTCATTACTCACTAGATTTAACATACTTTAATAACTATATTTTGGTTCTTTTCAGGTAAATAAACATGTTGAGTTTACTGCCCAGGAACTCTATGATTGTGTTTCTCAGACTGAGTACCGGTGAGTCATACCTGCATGCAGGTACATCACTTTTAACAAGCTTATACCACACTCAGTACCACTTGGTGGTAGTAAAGAGTTCTTTTCTTTGCACTACATTGTGATTTTTTTTTTTTAATCTTCATTAGTATGAAATATTTAATATATACAACAAACTCTACGTGTTTTATCTATAAGATTTAAAGTGGTTTTTAACCTCCAGACTTTTGACCTCCAGACTTCAAAAAAAACCCGTATTATGTATGGTTTGTTTTTGTCTTATTTTGATTTGATTTAATACTGGAACTTGATCCCAGTGCCTTTGTTCTGAGGTATATATCCTCAGCCCTTACCTCAGCAACACCACTTTTCTGGAGACAGGGTCTCACTAAATTACTGAGGCTGTTTGAATTTGTGATCCTCCTACCTCAGCCTCCCAGAGTAATGGGATTACAGGTGTGTGCTACCATGTTTAGTTCAATTATATTTTAAAAATGGTTGCAGACCCCAAAGACATTTGTTTATGTGTGTCATGGCTAGTATATTTATTATATTGAAACTTAGAATTGAGAAATTTATAATGTTTGGCCCATTTAAACATAATAGTGCTACATGTTAAGGTAGGATTATCATGGAAATGTTTTTATAAGGAATATACTGTAAAAGTGACATTGTTCTATAATTTTGCAAGTCTCAATGTCTAACTTTTAATAGACAGCAGCTGAATTCTCTTGCTTTTACATTAGCTTGTCAAAATAATTACATGTCGTTTTGCTAGAAAACTATTCCTGACTTTTTGGAGAATAAAAAGACAAAAAAAATCTTAGTTTTATTGTGAAAATAGCCATGACAGAATTATCAAAATGCTTATACTGTTAAAACTCTAGATTGATAAATATGTTTGATAATATTGAAGACACTAGGGATGATAAGCATATGTAAATATAAAACAGCTGTGAAGTTTGATTTGAAGTAAAATCTGAAGTCAGTGAGCTATTCAGATCTAATATAATTGGGGGAGAAAATAATTTTTTAGTATAGCATTCTGATTATCAGTGAGTAAATTTTGTTTTTGCTTGTAGATTGTTAACTGGTAATATAGAGGCTATAGCCTCTGACTGGTTTTAGGCAGATATCTAGCATTGTTTCGACTTCAGCTTGCTTTTTGAATAGTTGAAAGTGCTTTTGTTTAGTTTGGTATTTTGGAAAGAGGTTGAGTTAAGTGTTCAAAGTTAAAATATTTTATTTTTCTTTTGTTTCTTTCTACCTACTCTTACTATGCCAGCGATTTAAAATGTGACACAATAAACTTTCTTACATTCAAAAGGATGTTGTTGAAAATAAAGCATATATATTTAATATCTTGAATGCTTTGAGAGACGGATGTTGCTACTCAGTACACATTTGGTTTTTTTAAAAAAATTGTCAATTTTTAAAGTGAACAGTACCTTCCACATTAAATTGTGATGTACATTATCATTCATAACTATCAAATAAGCTGCCAAAAGTGAGATCGATTGTTTTGAACTTGCTGATTCATTTGAGACGGTGAAAACAGAAGGAGGACTTAACATATATGTAGATGGAACTGTGGAAATGTTAAGGAAAACAAGTATATAATATAGTTACGTGAAATGACTTGTCATTATTTGTAATTTTTTTTGAAGTGTTAGTTGTAACAGAGATGATTGTGTACCACAACATTTTCTTGTAGTGCAGAGGTATGAGGTATTTAAAAAATGTTTGCCTCTCCTTCGGGTTCCTGAGACAGAGCTCTAAAAAAACCCTTGTAGATAGGGTTGGTAGGAGAATCTTTTTGTTTTGAGGTTTGCTCTTAACTGTTCATTATCGTTTTGATTGCTCATTGATAATGCATAGAAACAGAACTCTCTGTGGTTATTGATCTGTTACTTGAAAGAACTCCTAATCTCTTGGACTATCTTGCGTGCTTGGGAGTATCTTTTATTTAATCAAGTGATTCTTGGTGGGCTCCTGGAGAAAAGCTGGAGAGTGAGTTCATATTTGATCATGTTTATGTTATTGAAATCTCTCTAAAAAAATCCTGAAACTTGGGGTTTAGAGAGCTTTTAAGTGACTGGATCCCTGGAGGGTAGCTCCCCCAAGAAAAGACATGGAAGCTTTATGCCTTTTCTCACACACTTGGCTGCCTGCATCTCTTCATCTGGCTGTTTACATGGATCTTTGGCCGTCTCATTTATAATAAATGAGTAAACTTAAGTACAGTGTTTCCCTAAGTTGAGTTGTCCTAGCAAATTAATCAAATCCAAGAAAAGAGGTCATTAGGAACACTGATTTGTAGGTGTCAAACTGGTACTTGAAATTAGTGTATGAAATTAAAACATATTATGGATTTGAGCTCTCTGTGGGAATGAACTGTAATCAGTATTGGACTGAATGTTAAGGACACCCTGTTTGTGTCTACTGGAGAACTGCTTGGTGTGTGGAAGGTATTCTCCCTGCCCTTGTCACTATGATGATGTCCAAAGTGAGGGATTATGTGTGGTCATGGTCTGATATGTGTCATATCTTTATGCCAATACCAGCTTTGATAAAGTTGCTTTGTAGTAAGTTTTGAAATTAGGAAATGGAATTCCACTAACACTGGTTTTCTTTTTTAAGATAACCAGTGCTTGTAATTCTATATGAATTTTAGGGTTAGCTTTTCCATTTCTGTAAGAATAGCTTGTTGGGATTTTTATAGGAATTGTGTTACTATCTTAGGGGTAAGCTTTCAGTCTTATGATTGAATATGATACAGTTACATACTATTTTTATATTAGCATTACATGTAATCCATTTTTCATTTGAGATGCACATGTTAAATGTGTAGGAAAGTTGAGAGATTTGTAAAAACAAATGTCCATTATAGACTTTCTTCTTCTTTTTTCTTTTTATCGGTACTGGGGATCGAACTCACAACTGCCTGCTTGCAAGGCAGGTACTTATGCCGCTGAGCTAAATCCCCAGCCCCTCTTCTTTTTTATTAAAGGGAATAAAACCAAGCAAAGTAAAACAGAATAAAGCCATTTAAAACCAAACAGTGAAAGTGTTATGGGATTTCAAAACCAGATAATAGAAAATCAACAATGACTATCATAATGCTTCTTGTTATTTTCAAAATAGCTGCCCATACAACCAGACATAATAAAATCAAACAAAACAGAACAAAATAAAGCAAATCAAAAGAAAATAATGAAAGTGATACAGGACTTCAAAACAAGATAATTGGAAATAAAAATTGGCTACCATAATATATCTTGTTATTTTTTAAAATAACTTCCCATGCCATCAGATATAATAAAATCAAATAAAATGAAACAATAAAACCAAGTAAGACAAAACAATGAAAATAGTACAGGACTTTAAAACAAGATAATAGGGAATTAACATGGCTACCTCCCTCAGGAGACTCTCCATAATTGCTATATTGGGCTGGGGATTTAGCTCAGTGGCATAAGTGCCTGCCTGGCAAGTGTAAGATTGTGAGTTGGATCCCAGCACCAAAAACAAAACAAACAAAAAAACATAGTTGCTATATTGCATAGTGTTGTTCTCCCTCTAAATAGATGATCAGGTTACTGGCTTTTGTGTTTCTCTGAATCAGCCAATTGGTTACAGGGGGAGGTGAAGGGATGCGGGAGACCTTGGCTCTACTTGTCTCCCAGCCTGTGTGCTAATCTTTGTTTGGTGGTGGGAGAGGCTGAACAAGTTACTTCCACTTTACTCTGTTAACACAGGAGGGACTTAGGGTAAGATGTTATCGAGGGGGAAGCAATACTATGAAAAAGAAGGTAAAAGGGGCTGGCTTCTTTTTCTCTTCCCTCATGGCCTGCAACTGTCACTGACTCATGGGAAGGGCTGCTGCTTCTCCCTTCAGCCAGTCTGGACTTTCTTCTTGCACTTAGAAAGATTTTGTAAGAACTTCATTAAATGACAGAATTAGGATAACTCATTGCTACCATGACAAGCTTGGTCAAAGCAAGTTTGATGACTATAACAGGAAAATTTAGAGACAGTGGCTGTTATTATACAGAAATCTCATGAAGCAGCATGTAATTACAAAACTAGAATCAGCCTCTAGTTTTGAGCTCTATTTGGAAAAGGTCAGAAACTGGAATAGTTTTGTTTGAAATATATAAATAGGAATATAGTAAGAGGTACATAAAGTATTAGTATTATCAGAGAAAAAAGATGTTTTTGTTTTATTTTAATTTAGGCAGATTCTGATAGTTTTTATAAGCCAATATAAAGGAAGAACTTTCTTGCAGTTAGATATCCAGAAGTGCAGTGAGGCATCTTACAGTTGTGAATGTCTCATCAGCAACAGGGAGAAAGCCAAGATGAGATGACTCAACTGGAGATAATGCAGAGTAGCAAGTAAGTTTGTTAATATTCTATCATCTTCCATATAAACCATGGGGAAAAGGAAGTCAAGAATTCTTGCCATCACAGTCTATTAACCAGCCTTTACTTTTCTCAGTCAGCAATGAAAAATTGCTACAGGGAACAAATCTATAGATGGTAATCCATTGGTAGGATGCTGACTCATGAATAAAGAAATCAAATGCCACTGGGATGAAAAGAAGAAAGAGTTTAATCTCTTAATGTAAGGATTGGGGAGGGAGAAAAAAGCAGAAGACACAGAAATAGATTCAAAAATGTAGTTACTACAGGATTTTTTTTTAACACATGGAATAAATAATAGGACAGGAATAGAGACTGGCCTTTTTTATTTCATTTTTAAATTTATTAAAAATTTTTATCTCTGCCAATATAAATTTCTTGTGTTCTGAAAATCATTTTTTGAGTAGTTGTAAAGAATTGGCAGCAACGTAACACTAATTTTAATTTGTAAATATTGGAATAACTCAAAGCTAAAAACTGGGTTTTAATCAGTCTCAGAGAAACCATATATCCTGAGGAAACGAGATTGCTCAAAATATTCTGCTTCCTTCCTGCCATTCTATTCTGAGTGCTGGCTTGTTCCTTTGTCTTACCTGAAAGGAAGGGCTTTCTCACATGGAAAGGAAAATGGGAATACCTAGAGATTCTCCATGATACCATGGACATGGCTCACAGCCACTCTTAAAATTCAAGGAAATGATGAGTCCAAGTGTAATAGTAGAAATGAGTAGATTAATAGATTTAAATAAGTTAAAAATGGATTGGTGTCCCATAATACATAGGCCCCTGTTACCTTTTCAAAATCTGTTAGCTTAGGTGAAAAGAACTGTGATGTAGGCATGGAATATATCAAGCATTACATCCTGTTTCAGTACCTGTGGTTTGGGTTTACTAACACTACTTTATTAACTGTTAGGCAATTTATACCAACAATCTTTTTTTTTTTTTTTTTAAAGTAGAAATGCTGTCAACTTGTCGCTTTTCAGGTGTCTGTTCCTTATGTGCCTATTAGCCCATCTATTTTTTAACTCTCAAACTAAGACAGAAAGAAGCCTTCTTTTTCATAGTATTGCTTCCCCCTTGATAACATCTTACCCTAAGTCCCTCCTGTGTTAACAGAGTAAAGTGGAAGTAACTTGTTCAGCCTCTCCCACCACCAAACAAAGATTATGCCTGAGCAGACCATCTTAGCTTGTTGGCAGCAGTCTGCCATGGGAACCCTTATTTCTGAATTTTAAGAATTGTGTGAGCCGGGTGTGGTGGTGTACTTCTGTAATCCCAGCACTCGGGAGGCTGAAACAGGCAGATTGTGGCAAGTTCAAGACCAGCTTGGGCTACAAAATGAACCTAAGGCCAGCCTGAACTGCACAGTGAGACCCTGTCTCAAAAAGACCAAAAAGAAAAAAAGAATTGTGTGAAGGTCTCCATATTGGCTGAGACAATTAGGTGCTTATCCTCTCATGTTTTGTCTATGCTAAAAAACTATAATTATTGGTATTTTCTCAAATATCAAAAACGTGTATTTCGGCTGGGGATTTAGCTCAGCGGCATAAGTGCCTGCCTTGCAAGTGTGTGGTCATGAGTTCGATCTCGGTACCAATAAAAAAAGAAAAAGACAAAAAAAAAAAAAAAACCCAAAAACGTGTATTTCAAATCTCAGTATTATTACATTATATTTAGAATTTTAATATATCCAAAGAAATGACTTGGAGTGTTGAAAAAAATAACTGCATGCTCATGTTCATTATAGCCTTAGTCACAGTAGCCAAGATATGGAATCGCCAAATGCCTGTCATTTAAGGAATGGATAAAGAAATGTATATATACACCATTGAATACTACTTATCTTCATACAATAGCAACAAAAACACAGAAATAAAAAAAGAAATCACTTGAAACAACATGAATGAACTAGAGGGCATTATGTTAAGTGAAATGAGCCAAGCACAAAGTCATAAATACCTCTAAACACATTGAGTTCACAGAAGTAGAGAGTAAATAGGGATCGGACATAGTGACAGAGGAGAGATTGAGATGTTGATCAAAGGACGCAAAATTTCAGTAGGAGCAATAAATTCAAGAGATTAATTATGCAATCTAGTAACTTTAGTTATCAATATATTGTATTTTTGCCAGGTGTCAGAGTACACATCTATAACCGCAGCACCCTGTAGGTTAAGGTTGGAGAATAGTGAGTTAGAGGCCAGCTTGGGTTGCATACAGAGACTCTGTTTCAAAAAATAGAATTGTATTTTGAGCACTAAGAGAGTAGATTTTAAGTGTTCTATCACAAAATTAAGTATGTGAAACACTTCATGATTAACTTGACTGAAGCATTCCACAGTATCATCAGAACATCATGTTGTACACAATTCAAATATAATTCTTAGTTTTCAGTTGAAAAAAAAAAATCTAACTAGCAGTGATTTAATGTTTGTTTTTCTCCTAGGGAAAAGTTAACCATTGGATGCCGCCAACTGGTTGAGATGGAATGTGCCATGCAGCAGTGCAATGCATCTGTCTACATGGGAGCGAGACACAGGGGATGGATGGTGTGAAGACATGTTCAGCTTTAGGATCTAAGTGCTGCAACTTCAGAGGAATTGCATTCATCCTTGTCCTTTAGAGGCATTTGTCTTCATAAGAAACAGAGTAATTTTTGACCTGGTCATTTTTTTTGAGCCAAACCCAAGAGACAAAATTTAAGAAATACTTTCTAGGCACAAAAAAGTGATGGTGTTACAATTTCATTGAAGCTCTAAAAAACCTGATGTAGGTATTGTAGAATAAACTGTTCACTCAGTTTTGCTGGAGTTGATAGTACCTTCGTACCTTTATCCTTATTCCAGCCAGTATCTCCACAGAAAAGGGCCATCTTTCTAGTCCTTCTAGGGCAGGAGCCACAGTGGCAACTGAAAGGCCCAGGGTATTAAGGTATTAGCATCTTTCAGGTCCAAATAACCAGACACTGCCAAACCCTAGGAATTGGGACCCGGGCACATGTTCATCACATTCCACAAATAAAATCTTATCTGGAGTTGATTTTTTAATGCTGTTTAATGTACACCTGGTAGAAATAACACCACCATCCACACTTCCCTCAGGGAAAAGAAAGTAGAATTTGGACTTCAGCTTCTACTTCCTTACAGCCTCTCTTCTGAGCTTGTAACTTTTCAGTACATTTCTAATGGTGAAGAGCAGGTGACCCTTATGCTGAGTTGCCCTTAAATGTGAAGCAGTCTGAATTTTTGGAATTAGATGGCAATGACTGATGTTTGCCCCTAACTAAAGCCAATTGTTTAATTGACTTCTTACTGAGTTATACAGTAGGTTGGAAAGCCTAGACAACTGAAATGTATTAAGCTTTTGTTAACACTTAGATAAAATCAAATTGGCTTTGTTATAAATGTTAAATTTATTTTTTAAAAGAGCAATAAATAACTTATTTTCAATAAGATGTTGCTTCTCATTTTACTTCCAAATAGTGTTTCTGCAATGCGTGTAGGTGTGATTATAAAAGTGATCTTCTCCAATAAAAAGAACTGATTCAGGATGTTCTTTAGTAGTAATTGGCAGTTTGTGTTTGCCAGGTTAGGAAACTGCATTAGCAAGTGTGAAATGCCTCCAGGGATGTAGGCCACTGGGTGACTGGGAAGCATGCTTGTCTTCCCTGAGAACCCAAAATTACAAGTGCTTTCCATCCCCCAGCTTCTTCTAGTTGTTTTACTTTTTTTGTTCTGTTCTGCCGTGCTTCCATCTCTTTTTTCTTGTCTTGCATGAAATTCTTTTATTCCTATGGCTTCCACATTTTCATATACTTTACTCTTACCAAATGGGTTTTAATCTTTTGTTGTTATGTGGGCTTTAATGTTATCTTTGTATGTCTTTTATTTTCCACATTAATCATGTCATTTTGTTTTTTTATTTTATTGGAATGTGTAGATTCTTAGCTTTCTAGTCTTTAATTTGCTTTAGAAACATTGTTTCCAGTTTTTAAGGTTTTTCTTTCATTCAGGGCTTTTTCCCTCTTCTGTTGCCTTATTGATCTTAAACTTATTTATACTCCAACACAGGAATTGAGGGATCCTTTTTCTCCCTCCCTCTATTCTGTCTCTAATTCCCCATTCAGGGTTGGAGTAACTCATTTAACTCATGTATCATAAGTCCCACCTTAAAGAATATGTGATTTTTTTTTAAATGAAAGAAGAATCAGATCCTTCAAAAAGGAGCTTAAATGTTAAGATTTCCATTGTTTAATATGTATAGTTAATGTGATTGGGGTAAAAGCTATAAGCATGCTGTGAACCAGAAGGAACATGGAGAATCATACCAGAGGGGACACTTTGAACACAATACCCTTGACCTGTTCTAATGAGGACATCCATGATGTTATTCCAGTAGCATTCCATATGTAGGTAATTGGTCCCATTGTACTAGCCTAGATTGCTTTTACAAAACATAAGATACTCTATAGAAGATCCTATGGGTTACTCATCTCTTGCTGTATTCAAAACCAAGAAAAAGTGGCTAAAATCTTGTACTCCACAGAGTTCTGATAGGACTTGCATTGAGCAATTATGACTACACAGGTTAATTTCAGATTCAGTGTGGGTCTTTTCCTGTCCCATGAAAGACCAGGTGACCAGATAGGTTCAGAGGTTTGTTTCCTTGATATTTTGAACATTATCTTAAGGAACAGCAGGAGTCCTTTTGGGTAAATCTGTTTATTTAAATGGTGTCTTGCTCAGTTTTCAGAAGCTACATCATATTGTCTGTATTCCTGGCTTTCAACAACTCCCTACTCGCATATTGGAACCCTTTTCACACCTTACCATTAAGATTTGAAATGAGTTTTTTTTTTCCTTTTTCTTTTTTTTTTTTTTTTTAGGTAGAATCTCACTGTGCAGTTCAGGCTGGCTTTGAGCTCACTATGTAGCCCAGGTGATCCACTTGCCTCTGATTCCCAAATGCGGGGATTATAGGTATGAATTACCACATAGCAAATTTATTTCTTGAAGTGAATATTCATTACTAACAAATCAAATACATCTTCCACTCAGGAAGTAATGCTGCTTGTAAGGTGATTTAGAGGCTGGACAGGCTAGTTACCCTCATATTTGGTGGCTCCTGGGCTATTTTGCTAATAAATTACTCCCAATGAGTATAAACTCGAGGGCAGGAACTATACTGTCTAGTGTCTAATGACAAATTTTGGTCATTTCTGATACATTGGCACACTGATGACATTCTGTAATAACAAGTTTGATTTGAAAGCCCAAGTTTGTGACGTGTTACATGAAAAGCCATTCATTAAACCGACACATCTCTGCTGGATCATCTTGAGTTGTGCCCATTGAACATTCACCTTCTGGAGTCAAGAGTACCTCAAAGTGTTGGCTTTCTGGATACTTTAAACTTTCACAAATACCCATCTCTATCTTCATGCAGTAAAATATTCTTTGTATCAGTCTGGCTGTTAGTGATAAGAATTGGCCAATCTGAGGGTGTATATTTTGGTGGGGCTTTTACATAGATGTGAAGGTTAATCCAATCCAATCAAGATTGGGTGTGCCTAGGGGTTTCCAGAGAATATTTGCATGTGCAGCAACAGGCAAGTGTCACACCCAAATGTGGGTGGCAATATCCAGGAGGCCTAGAGCCCTGATGGAAAAGCCAGGGGAAGCTTGCCGGTACTTGATCTATGCTTCCTGGTGCCATGAGATGAGCAGATTTCTCTGCCTCATCACAGACTTAAAAACAGTGAAGCCAGCTGACCATGGATTTAAACCTCAGAAATCATAAGCCAAAGTATTTTCTTTATCATTTTCTCGGTATCTTGTCACAGCTTCAGAAAGCTAACACAAGAAGAAATCCTTTTACATTCTGACGTAGTTTAGGTGGTAGGTGTGTAGGGTAAGATACAAGAATCAAGATGTATTATATACATGTACCTACTCATGAAAATGATTGTAAAATGTATTGCAAACATGTACCAATAAAATTTTTTAAAATTCTGATCTAGTTTTGTTTGTAAACAATATGATTTGTCTTCGTGTTGAAACACTGTGGACAAATTTTTGAGAATTACTAGTCAGAATCCTGTTACTAGCTTGGTTCAATGTTCCGAACTACGAACTAAGTTTAGTAGACTTTCTCACTTGCATTCCTTTCTCATAGCCTCTGCTGATCTAGTATAGAGTAATGGTCGTGGCCTGCAGGGTTGTGGAGTAGTTTCCTGTGATTACTAGTGAGACAAAAAAGGGACATGTCTTTTGTCTGTTTCTCTAATTAGCATTTTTGGTTAAAGCTAGATAAGATCCTTCACAGCTCTGTAGGTTTTGTCAGTCATGTAATTTCCAGTTCATTCAGTACATAGAAGTTTCAGCTGGGCATGGTAGCACACATTTGTAATATCAGTTACTCGGTAGTGGGCAGGACTGAAAGTTGGAGGCCATCCTGAGAAACTTAAATCCATCTAAAGAGGTAATTGGAGGTGGGAATCTAGTTCAGCAGTGTAAAATAAAACCCCTATGTAGTAAACTCACGGTCACCTTAGGCCATGGATGCATTTGCAACTCCAGTTTTCCCTTTTCTAGAATGCTATACATACCTGGAGGCTTTTCATTTCACAGGCTGATTCAACCATACTGTCCATCATACAGACTATCAGTTAATTCATTCTTTTTGTTTAGTATTCTGTTGCATGGTGTACCCATTTACTGAAAGCTACTTTGATTTCCATTAGTGACTGAATGAACCATTAATATTAACATACAGCTTTCTGTACATACAGTCTACATTTCACTTTGGCACATGCTCACCATTGTCATGGAATGTTAGAAATCATGAAACTTTTTCCCCCAGTCAGTGCCTACAGTAATTCTACAATACCACCAGTCCATCAGCATTCCAGTTACCTTCATACTAACAGTAATTTGCTATTACTCATTTTGACTTTAATTACATTTTCCCAATAATTTGTTATTGACCATCCACTTTTTTTCTTTGGCTAAGACTCTTGCTGAAATATTTAACCACTTTAAGCTTGGGTTGTTAGGGCCGGGATTGCAGCTCAGAGCTAGAGTGCCTAGCAGATGGTAGGCCCAGGGTTTGGTGCCCAGTACTATGAAGCAAGAAGAGCTCATTTTACTGTTTTTGTAGTAATGAGGGTTAAACTTAAAAAAAAGTTATGCATGCTAGGTGAAGTATCCTACCACTGAACTATCTTTTAGTTTTTAGATGTCAAGGCAAGGTCTGGCTAAATTGCCCAGGGTGGCCTTGAACTTCCTTTGCCTCAAGCCTTCCAATAACTGGTCATAGAGGTATAGACACGGTATCATGCCTGAGTTTTCCAAACTGAAAATACAAGTCTTTCCTCATACTTTTTTCAAGCATATATAAAGGCTTAGTATCTTTTAAAAAAAAGCCTGGGTTCTATGTACTTCAGAATGCATGACAATGCTCAATCCTGTCTCAGCCTCCTGATGGCTGATATTACAGGCATATACCACCATATCCAGCAAGGGTTAGTCTGTAATTTGTTGAGAAACAAAATACTTGCTTTAATACACAAGATAAACTGTCAGGATTTGGGAGCAATTTTAGTAGACAGCTGGCTTTCTAAACTACTGGGTGACTAGGTTAATTTGATAAATGTCAAATTTTAATGTAAGAAATCAATTCTTTTAAAAGTTTCAATGCTAAAAGTATTGTGTGCCCTGATTTTCTAGGCTAAAATTTTATTAAATACTGTTTGCTCACTCCACATAAGCATCTTAAAACACATCCCCTTTTTGTTTCTCTATTTCCATAAGCTATTAACCTCTCAAACACATAGCTTAATGACTGAGCTTGTTTCTTACTATTGCTTGTTATTCTATCATTTAGACTCTTGAGAAAACTTCTTTTATTATGAAGGCTTATTTCTATTTTATAGCAGTTACTCTTTTAACCTACAGGCACTGAGCTCAAAAAGACCAAATTTATGGTTTAGTCTTACCAAGCATTTAACAGTTACCAGTATTTCTTTGGGGTTTTCTCCTTTAAAGGGTTTGTTGATTAAGCAATCTATCTCCAAATTCAGGATCCCCACCCCCACGATGATTGTTATATAGTGAACTAAAGTATTTTGAGTAATGGCAAATGCCAATACACGAATACAGCCAGTGTTTGGTTAATTAAAAGGCACAAGTTTTGCTAACATGTTAGAAAGTCTGGTATGTTTTACTGACTATTCCAAGTTGTCAAATGTGAAACTATTCTGAAATTCATCGTAAAAAGCAAAACCAAATAATCTACAATTTTTAAGTTATGCTGAAACTATCCCATTTTCTTTTTCCCTGAAGGAAAGGTAACTTTTGGACATGGATAAACAGTATTTGGCCAGTTTTTTCTCCTGTATGGAAATGTACGTTCATGAAGCTTTGTTAAAAACATGCTTTTTACCCGCCAAACT